ATATCTGCCAAAGGAATGTTTCATATTTTCTAGCTTTCGTGGTGGTTTGGCAGTGCTGAGAAGCCCAGTGGTCCTTATTTTCTTTGTGGTTGTCTGACCTCTTGTGGCTTGCTTTTGGTATTGCAGTTTCTGGTAACTAGATTTTGCAAAAGGTGGTTTTTCATGACAAAAATAAGTAACGTATTTTTATAAGAAAAATATTATATTTTAGAGAGGTTTGTAGTTTTTCTAAGATCACACAAAAAATAATATGAAGTTATGCTCTGGTGGTGTAGTGGTTATGAATCGGGCTGCAAACCGCAAGGTCAGCAGTTCGAAACTACCAACTGTTACATGGAAGAAAGATGAGGCTTCTGTCCCCATAAAGATTTACAGCCTCAGAAACCCTGTACAGGGTCGCTATGAGTTGGAACCTACTCCACAACACATAACAACAACAACAAATATATACACAGAGGAAGAAATAGAAGAGTTGACACTCCTCAACTAGGAATCCCAGAGATTAAAATAAAAGAAGGGGAATAAGAAGTCCATATTTCCCAAAAACTGATCCTTCCTCCTCATTTCCAATCCTTGTATTCCAATCACCAGTAATTATCAATACATCTGGATTGCATGTTTGATCAATTTCAAACAAAAGAAGGTGGTAGAATTCTTCAATTTCATCAACACTTGCTTTAGTGGTTGGTGTATAACTTTGAATAGTGGTATTAACTAGTCTTCCTTGTAGGCATATGGATATTACCCTATCACAATCAGCATTATACTTCAAGATGAATCTTGAAATGCTCTTTCTGATGATGAATGCAGCACCATACCTTTTCAATTTGACATTCCTGGCACAGTAAACCATATGATTGTCAGATTCAGAATGGCCAATGTCAGTCCATTTCAGCTCATTAATGCCTAAGATATCAATCTTTATACATTCCATTTCATTTATTACAATTTCCAATTTTCCTAGGTTCATACTTCATATATTCCATGTTCTGATTATTAATGGATGTTTACAGTGGTTTCTCCTCATTTTGAGTTGTGCCCTGTCAGCAAATGAAAGTCCTGAAAACTTTACTCCATTCATATCACCACCATCACCTCTACTTTGAGGAGACAGCTCTTCCCCAGTTATATTTTTAGTGCCTCCTAACCTGAGGAGCTCATCTTCTGGCACTATATAAGAATATTCTGGTGTTTTTCATCATGTTTCAGTATTCAATATTCTGGTACTGACAGTGTCCCACTGCTATTCATAAAGTTTTCATGTTGTTAAATGTTCAGAAATAGTCTGCTTCTCCTTCTTCCTAGTCTCTTAGTCTGGAAGCTCAGGTGAAACCTGTCCACCATGGGTGTACCTGCTGGTATTTAAAATACTGACATCATTTCCAGCATCACAGTGACACATAAGCCACTATGGTACAACAAACTGACAGATGAATACTGGAGGGACAAACTTAGGGGTTCTGTTATATGTTACACTATTAAACATAACTGAAAGCAAACATCAGAAGGTAAACTAGATGACTGGGACTCCCTAAAAACTAGACAAATATGTGCATCAAATTTTCACCAAAAGGGTAAAAAGAGAACCCACAGACTGGGGGAAAAGTTGGCATTGACATATCAGACAAGGGTGAATCTGTAAAATATATAGAAAACTTCATATATTTTGTAATGAAATGTATGATTTGCTGAATATAAAACTGATGATACACTTTGTAAACTTTCACTTTTGTACACTTACGTAAAGATAGAGATTCACAACCAGCACTATATATTCTATAAGGTATGTACATATTCAAGTACATGTGTCAAATAGGATAAACCTGGTTCCTATTGGTGGGGGTGAAAGTTGGGAAAGGGAATAAGAAATGAAATCAAGAAAAATGGAATAAACCAGAAAAAGAAGCTTGCTAATTGTGACAGTGAATTAATAACTAGGGAGTATGATTAATGCAACTCTTTACACCTTCAAAACAAAAGTAGAAGATACACACTGTAATTGTTAAGAGGGTAGAATCCAATTATCCTTTAATTAGAAGGTACTTTAGAAGTCAGCCAGTCTAATCCCTTCCCAGGGTAAGAATCCTCTGTCCTAAATCCTTGGGAAACATCACACTCAACTTGAACTACAACATAGGCCAGACTGATAGTTTCGGGTAACTCTAGTGAGCTCGGAGTTCTTTGTTATATTTGGTTGAAAACAGCCCTTCCGTGAACAACCTGCACTGGTTTGAGTTCTGACATTTGGAATTGTACCCAGTGAGTCTAATCCCTATTTCACAGGATAGCACTTCAAACAGTTGGCAATATCTGTTATAGTTCTTAAGTCTCCTCCTCTTCCAGTACCATACACATAAACAGTTATTCCTAATGTGGCCTAGTATTCTGAGTCTCCTAAAAATTTCAGTAATTTATAGCATAGCATCAACACCAGTTATTAAATTTGGCTTATTCGTTTGAGAAATGTACTGAATGCCAGCTATGGATCATGTATCGCACAAGGTGCTATGAATGGATGTGTGGAAAAAACAAATAACTTCTAGGATAGTTATAATTAAGGACCTAGATCAAATTATCTTTATGTAACAGATTTGAAATTTATTAAACTCAAAACCATCTCGATTGTCCAGAATGAGTAACCACATTTTTCTTACACTGATTTATCCATGTTTTCCAAAAAAATACTCAAGAACAGATTTTCTGGGTCAAGGATTGCTGTAGGCTCTGGAAACTGGAACATGCTTCTTAGCACCATGGAAAGAGAATTAAAGCCCTAACACAGAACTCCAGGCAGTCAGCTTGCTTCTGTTGTCCTTCACTGAAACAGATGGATTTGGCACCCTCATCACTGAATATGGCTGCATATGGCTTCTTTTTAGTTGGAGTTTTGGTAGCGTAGTGGTTACCAATTGGGCTGCTAACCTCAAGGTTGGCAGTTCGAAATTACCAGTGGTTCCGTGGGAGAAAGATGAGGTGTTCTGCTCCCATAAAGATTTACAGCCTTGGAAACCCTGTGCAGAGTCACTATGAGTTGGAACCGACTCCACGGTACTCAACAACAACAAGTTGGAGTTTTTAGGTGGTGCAAATGATGAACACATTTGGCTGCTAACTGAAAGACTGATGGTTCAAGTCCTTCAAAGGCACTTTGGAAGAAAGGCATAGTGACTGCTTTTGAAAAACTTTCAAAGCACAGTTCTACTCTGACACATATAGGGCCACCATAAATTGGAAGTGTCTGGATGGCTACTGGTTTTGTTACTAATTGGTAGTAGTCACAGATTGCTATGACTTGAAGGCTCAAACAAACTGGCTTATTGGTCAGTGGAGTGAAATGAATCTCTAGATTTGAAAATGAGGAGAAGATAGATCAAATAAGGGCTTAGGAAGAATTCAGTACATTTTAAACTAACCATGTTTTAATTAACAGTTTGAACCAGCAGAGAAATTCAAAGGGACATAGAAACAAATTCAACAAACCTTTCAGGAGTGGACTTTGTCTTCATGAAAATATTAGATTGATACTCCATTCAAAATTAAAACAAAAGATTTTCTTAAAGAAATAGCTGCATTTTGTGAAATGGAGTCCACACTGTATCTACCAAAAAAAGGGAAAAAAAAAAAAAAAAAAAAAAAGCAATGTGTCCTGTCTTGCAAGAGAAGCAGTCAGTTTTTATTTAGTAAAGCAAACAAAGGAAGACCTTTTACTTCAAAGACAAGTGCAGGGGAAAGGAGAAAAATTTACAAGTTGTCAAATCACAAACTTCCTTCCTAATTCCAAACCAAATGTGAATTCTTTGTCTCCTGATACAACTTCACCATAATAATATTTCTAAAACACACAGTGTAAACATTTTGATGTTGGGTCTTGTGATTGAATGTAGATCAGGCCGATTTTAACTAAGTGATTGAAATGTAAAATTGGTTCATTTGATTAAGAAGAAGAGAAGGTTGCTTTCATTTATAGATACATATATATATATATATATGTAATGGCATCCTGGTGTGGCTCTGCACTGGCCCAAAAGGTCGGGGTTTCAAATTTACCAGTTGCTCCTATGACCCTAGACAGGGTCGCTATGAGTTGGACTTAACGGCACTTAACAGCAACAACAGCTGCCAAACAATTTTTTTTAATCCAGGTGTAGCACTGTAGGATAAGAAAAGTCGATAGTTCAAACCCATCCAGCTCTCTCAGAAAACCCTATATAAGGTTGCTATGAGTTGACAGCACACAACAGCACACAATTCTTCAGATTCTTGGTGTGGCACTGTAGAGTAAGCACTGGACTGCAAAGTTGGTGATTCAAACCCACCACCCGCTCCTCAGAAACCCTACGTAGGGTCTCTATGAGATGGACCTGGACTCCAAGGCACTAACAGCAGCAGCAAAAAACAATTCTTCATCTCGATTAGAAATCCTGATTCTCTTACTGATCCTGTATACATCTTCATCACTCCTGGACTTTCCATCTCCACCTGACACAACCAAGATGGACAGAGAGGCTGGGGCACTTGTCTATACTTTAGTTCATCCACTTGTCTTATAGATGAGGCAGCTGAGACCCTTAGAGGGGAAGAGGTTTGTCCAAAGTCTCATAGCCAATGATGGACGCAGGCCTGCAATTTAGGGCTTATAACTAACTGTCAATTACAGTCTCTTCTGTATGAAGCTGCCTCTTTGCCCAGTTGGAAGGAGGGTGTTAACCATGATGCAGTAATAGTGTCTTTAGTAAGTCAAGAAGAATAAGTTAAGGCTTCCTGATTCCATGAAAGAAGAGTGAGAGGTGAAAAGGGGCTTTGAAGCTTCTCATTGGTGTCTTCGGGAGGCAGAGACATGGGGCTGACTTCTCTGAAGCTGGTGGGCAGAACATCTTCAGTTATTCAGATCAGAGAAAGCTGAACTTGTCCACAAGAGTTTGGCATGCCAGACCCACATCCACAAAAGAATCAGAATCATTCTGTCTCTTCTCTAACTTGCTTTGACCAGTCTCCTTTCTTTAAGGCAAGACATCCACGTAATCACTGTTTATGTTATCTGAAGGAAAAAACATAAAAAAGTCACATCAACCAATCTTACGTAAGGGATAGAAGCCCTCTTACCAGGTACAAGGTAATCTTGATGCTACACCAAAGTAATAGTATCTAAAGCTGGGTTACCACAAGGACTTTCAACATAGTGAGTTCCTTCAAGAGGCAAACCTCAGAGCTTCTAGTGCCAGCTGAAAACCTTGGCCTCCCTTAGAGTAAGAGCATCAGAAGCCTGCATGGAGGAGGCAAAGAAATAATATGAGGCTGAAGAGGGAATTGCGTCTCTTCAGTAGCTGAGGATTTGGGAACTCACTCTAACAGGCCTGACCAAACACTGAAAATTGCATGACGGGACTCTCAGTCCAATTTGGGGGTAAGGGTTTTCGAGGGGAGAGTTCATTGAGGGGCTGCTCTCTTGGGATTTGTGATTAGTTTATTATTGCTCATACAATAAATATTGCCAACACCCTAACCACCTCTAGTTCCTTATCTGGGTTTGCCCTAGACACCTAAAGGCACAGTTACATTCCTGAATTTCTAGTTCTGTACCATTTATACTTACATATTTTACTCTGGACATTTTCATGGGAAACAGCCATGGAAGCATGTCTGCAGCTGGGCCTATAGAAAGTTTTGTGTGTGCATAGTGCACACTTCCCTGTGTAGGGCTCCAGGGGGCGGTGCAGTGAAACAATGGCAGAATACAATGATAGGGAAGTTTTTATTAATCATTTAAAAAACCCAAATCTACACTTTTAGGGATGTGAGAAGCTTAACTTTGGCAACCTATGGGGCAATTTTGCTGTTGAGAGATTAGAATGGCTGTGGGGTTACTGCCTCTTTCCTGAGAATCTCCATCTTTCCCCTTCTCCCTACCTAGCACATGGGCTCCCATTACTATCGCCGCCCACTTAGAGCTGAAATCTCCCTGATTAACAATATAACCGTACATCCCACATTTAGAACACAGAATTTAAATGCCTGAAAAAGTCTGAGTTAAATTCAAACCAAGTTGCACCTGAGGGATACCAGATTCTTTTGAGAGATTTCAAGAAATGTAGGTAAGCAAGAGTTGTTACTTGCAATATAATTTGAGGTGTCTCAGCATGAATTCTCTACACTCAGATTTACTTAACATCTTTCATTTTTCACTATGGGTATGTATCTGAAATTAATTGCCACCTAATTCTTTATAAATGAATGTTTAACAAGTATCATCAACCCAAATTTCACAGCTTAAGCCATAGGGAGGGAGTTGGGGTGCTTTTCTCATTGGAAAAAACTCTCTACCTGATTATTTATTTGCAAGCGATTTGCTCAAGGTCACAAATTGAATTTGAAATCAGTGTTTTGTCCAGGAGTCACTTTTGCTGTCCTACCTCTCTGGGTATAGAAAGCATCATGTCTTGGCCATCTTCAAGGGTTAGAAAGCACCAATAGTAGGAGTTGCCCCTTAGCAGGATAAAGCTTTTTTAGAAAGAACATCCTTGTTGTTTTTTGTCATCAAGTCCAGTCTGACTCATAGCAAGCCTGTATAGGGTTTCTGAGGCTGTAAATCTTTATGGGAGCAGACGGTCTCATCTTTCTCCCACCAAGAAGCTGATGGATTTGAGCTGCTGACCTTACAGTTAGCAGTCCAACACATGATCACTATGCCACCAAGGTTCCTAAAGAACATCCTAGAAAATGACATTTCTCGACGTTTGTTCTGGCCATTGTTTATCTGTCATTTCAGGTGAATTTGGCTTCCAACAATTAGTGTCTTTGTGTCTGTTCTGTTATAGGGGAGAAGATAGACCCCACCTTCAAATATATAAATATTATGTTGCTGTTGTTGTTAAGTGTTATCAAGCAGGTTTCAACTCGTAACAACCCTGTATAGGGTTTCCGAGGAGTGGCCGGTGAGCTTGAATCGCTGACCTGAGGTTCATTCAAATTGACTTTGCAGTCAAGCACAAGACAAAGACAAACATAGATCACCCAGGTGAAGGAAATCACAGACATCGTAATGAGTTTCCAAAGCTCTGCCTCCACGTGGTAACCTTTTAGAGGGCACCAAAGAACAACGGAATCTCCTCTCACAACCACAACTGTTGGCAGCAATGTGTCACATAGGAAAGCCAAGCTCACAGAAAGCAGGTAGGAGATTATGGAAACTATGACTCTGAGGTTCTCGGGGTATGACATCACAACCAGGTGATCATTAAGTGGTGTGTCCAGGAATGTTCCTGTGAAGGCTGGCTGGGGTAAGTGGCCCCAAATCCACTTTAAATGGATAGAAGCTCTGCTTCTAACTCTGCCAGTTCAGCTGTCAGACGTGCATGAGATACTCAGGAAATCTGGCATCTGAATACTTAAATCTAGGCACAAGATAGAACTAAGCTCTGCCTGGATGGAGTCTTTTGCAGGTAAAAAAAAACCTTCAGATTTCATGCTCTACAGCAATTGATTTACTTTACTAACAGCTGCTGCCTTTAGGGAGCTCTGGTAGTGTAGTGGTTACAAATCGGGTTGACTCAACAGCACCTAACCAGAACAACATAGTGGTATTTGAGTCTTGGTGTGGCCCTGTGGGTTAATGCGCTAGACTGCAAGGCCATTTGAACCACAATGTAGGTGGTTCACATTCACCAGCCACTCCTCAGAAGCCCTATACAGGGTCACTATGCATCAGAAGTGACTCGGTGGCACTTAACAAAAACAACAAGTGGCATTTGTTGAACATGGCAAATTAATCAGTTCCGTTTGTACCTGTTCTCCAAAAGCTCATCATTTAAAAATCACTATTTTGATTCTTACGTGATACAGATCCAAATAGCTAAATAGGAAATAAATTAAACATTCAGCTTCTTGTTGTTGTTAAGTGCCGTCGAGTTGATTCCAACCCATAACGACACTATACAGGGTTTCCAAGGAGAAGCTGGTGAACTTGCACCACCAAACTTGCAATTCAAATGATTTTGCAGTCTGATGCATTAACCCACAGTGCCACATCAAGCAGCCTGTTTTTTCTGTTGTCTCCTTGGATTTAGTTTGACCACCGCTGTAGTTACAGAAGGGAAACGGAAGTGCTAAGGGACAGACCATCCGGATTCTACAAAGCAGGCCAATAGGGAAACTAGCACTCTCGTCTGAGAATTAATATGATCGATACCATTCAACTTGATCTTTGTTCTTCTCCATGTTGGGCATATATTCATTTTCTTTACTGGGGTTAAAAGAGGAATCACCAGTCCTTGATTTGGTTTTTCGTATTTGGAGATTAGTTCCTTCAGGTTTGGAAAGATCTGATTCCGAGTGCCTTCTACGGTCTGTAAAAATAGACGAAAGGAAGTCATTTGTGCAATGTGACACTTTAAAAAAAAATGTGGTTTTGGGGGCAGGCTGCCTTTGTAAGTGCACAAACTGAAAACAAAACACAAATCAAACCCCTTGTCATTAAATGAGACTCATGGTGAGCCCGTGTCTTATAAAGTCGAATTGTTACATAGGGCTTTCTTGGCTGTGATCTTTACAGAAACAATTCATCAGGCCTGTCTTCCACCGTGCTACTGGGTGGGTTCAAACAGCCGACCTTTGCATCAGTCGTCAAGAGCAAATTGTACTTGTACTACCCAGGAACCTTAATTGAAAATAAGTGGCTGACTTCATACTTAGGAATTCACACTGATCATAATACATAGAAACCTTCATTATTAAGACCAACCTCTGATTTGAGCTAAGGAGCTATGGTAGCATAGTGGTTATGAATCGGGCTTGTGCAAACCTCGCGGTCAGCAGTTCAAAACTACCAGCCGTTCCACAGGAGAAAGATGAGGCTTTCTGCTCCCATAAAGATTTACAGCCTCGGAAACCCTGTACAGGATTGCTATGAGTCGGAACCGACTCCACAGCACATAACAACAACAACAACTGATTTGAGCTACTCTGAGTAAAAAGGATTAATAATCCAGAGATTCCCAGACTAGTCTACAGATAAAGTCCCTCAACCTTGACAAATGTGTCTGGGACAATTCTTGTTGTAGATCTACTATAAGGATACCTCTCAAAGAATTCCCATCAGACCCTGTGCCTTAACGACTAGAAAATGCTTTTCCCTCTTAGGGGACTGCCAGCAGTGGATCTATGACGAGAAATGCAAAATATGCAATAAATTCAGAGCCTATATGAGAAGAAAATAAGACAAAAACAAATTTTGATTTTAACGGAAAGTAGGAATGTCAACATGATTCAGGTAAATTGCAAATAGTTGTTTTTTGTTTACCACTTATAAACCAAGTACTATTTTCAAATATAACCTTATAGAAATAACAAAAAGACAAAGGAATTCATTCCCGCTGTTCTGGAGAATTTTATGGATGATGACTGCCGGTCTTCTGTGACCACAATGCCAGGCTACAGAAAAGGTAGTGACCATAAGGTTATCTGACGTACAGTCACATTAACTTGTATAACAGAGACTCAGGCTGACATTTAAGTCTTCTGCAAGGATGCCACAGAATACCAACACTTCAACCCATAGAAGCATCTATTATAAGTTCTGAGAGCAAGCTGCTCCTCACTGAAATGCCATGCTATGTCTGAGTTGTGGCTACTCTGGATGTCTTTCTGGTGTGTCCAGATAAGAGACATAGCAACTCCCGGAATTAGGGAATTATCCAGAATTGCCTAAATTATGCACTGCAAAGAAAAAAATGTTTTTATTTTTAAAGTTTTTAAATTTTGGTGAAATATACATAGCAGAACATAGATTTACTCATCAATTTCTACATGTACAAGTCAGTATCACTGATTACTTTCCTCACATTATGTCACCATTCTTGCTAGCTCTACCCATATTGTCTTACTACCATTGATGTCGATTCATTGCATCCTAAGTTTCTCATCTATAAGAAAAACATGTTTTTAAATAAGTTGCTATTTTTTAAAAAAATTATTTTGAGATAATTCAAGACTTACAGAAAAGTTGCAGAAACATGTACAAAAATCTTCTGAACAGATCCTTCATCCAGATCCCAGATGTTAACATTTTTATTGCTTTTCTTTATTTCTTTCTCTCTCTCTCTCTCTCAGTATATATATATGTGTGTGTGTGTGTGTATAAATATGTATGTACATATATGTATACATGTATGTTGTTAAGTACCATCTTGTCGGTTCTGACTCATGGTGACCCTGTATAGGGTTTCTGAGGAGAAGCTGGTGAATTTGAACCACCAACCCTGTGGTTTAAACCAACCTTTGTGGTTTGTGTCCACTGCTATCCTACATTGCCACACAAAGTCTCTTTAAATAGATATATGTGTGTGTGTGTATATATAAATATATCCATTTTATAAAACTTGTTGAGAGTAAGTTGCAGACATGATGTCCCTTTAGCCCTAAACACTTGAATATTTCCTTAAAAGCAGGGGCATTACATAACCTTACAACAGTTACCAAATTCAGAAAATTAAACCTGAAACAGTACTATTAACTGATCTATAGGCCTTAGTCAAATTTGCCAATTACCTCAATCAAATTAGTCTTTTATTGTTGTTGTTAAGTGCAGTCAAGTTGGTTTTGACTTATAGCAACCCTGTATAGTGTTTTGACTATATACCAAGAGTGGCTGGTGGGTTTTGACTGCTGACCTGTGGTTAGCAATCCAGTGCTTATCCTACTGCATTATACCAGGTCCTTTATTGCCAAAGGAAATTATATATGTGTGTATAAGGAGATCATTGCATATTCTAATCTCAGCTTTTCACAATGTAAGTAACATATCGAAGATCCTGAGAAATCTTGCAGTAAAGAACCTGTTTGACCTTGCATACAAGTGTTTCAGAACACCTATTTCAGAATATTCTGTAAGTAATTAAAAATCCAATTACATCTATTATACTCAACTTTCCAGCCTAGAGAATTAAATTTAAAAGAAGCAGAGAGGTTTTCCTATTAGCCTCCAATAAACAAGAAAAAGAAAGCAAATCCATAAGACTTCCAGTTGACTGATGCTTCCTTTGAGATTTCCATGCATACATATCCTTGCATTCCCTTTACAACTCCATCCTAGGTCATTGTTTAGCCTTCTAATTCAACAGTTCTGGTTGTTGTTAACTATGCTCGAGTCCATTCTGACTCATAGTGACCCTATATAGGATTTCTGAGGAGCAGCTGGTGAGCTTGAACTGCCGGCCTTGCAGTTCAAACCAACCTTGCAGTCCAGTGCATTAATCCACAGTGCCACACAAGGATATACATTTGATTACTGAGGGGACCAGGGTCATAATGCTTTTATATTTTAGAAGAACAATAGCCATGGTCTCCTGACCCCGATTCCTTTCTCATTGTTCTTAGAGAAAGACAGGATTAACTTTGTTCTGACTCTAACTCTAACTCCCTAATGGTGCTTCCATTTTTAGATGGCCTCCACATGGTCACATCTCAGGTTTAAGTGATGATCTCAAAATTTCCTCCCCAGACTTTTCATGTTGTTTTTGTATAACCTTGTCCTTGTATATTCTTACCTGTATCACATAGCACCCACGTGTCTCTTTGAAGATTCGATAGGTGTAAACCAAATTTTTAAACCTGCAGAAAGATAACTGTGTGAATAATAATTTTGTGAGACACAAATTCAAGTAACATCTACTGTTATAGTTTGCCTGCAATGTCTGTTAATCATGGATAACCAAAATAAATGGATCCTTTTAAGGTATTCTCAGCTATGGGAATTTGAAGAAAACAGGTGTTTTGATGATTGAAGTTTGGACTGTAGCAAAGAGGATGAGGAGAGAGAACATACAACTTCCATGGTCTTGGTACTTCTCTTTAGTTCTGCCCCCATAAATGCTATAAGTTGATATAACATGCAAAACACCACTGGGCCATGCCTGTGCTGGTGATTAAATGATTGGCCATTGACTTCATTAGAGATTGTTAATGTAAGTAAAATACAGACTATAGAGAACTTTGTCCAAGGAAGTGATGTATTGTGTTCTTTTTTCTCACTGCCAAAGGAGTCATTGGCTAAGTAATCTAACCATAATTTAAAGACCCAATCTAACAAATCCCAAAGTGATAGCATAAATTACCATATTTCTTCAATTATAAAACCAGATGGCCTCCGGTCGACTCTGACTCCTGGTGATTCCATTTGTGTCAGAGTAGAACTGTGATCCATAGAATTTTCAATGGCTGATTTTTTTGGAAGTAAATTTCCAGGACTTTATTATTTTTTTTCTGGAGGAACTTAAACCTCTAAGAGCATATCAACTGAACTCCTCTTCAATTATAAGATGTCATCAATTATAAGATACATGATCAACTTATAATATCTTTACAAGAAAAAAAATGTATACACCAAGTATTTTCATTAACCATTAGCCAAGCATATTTTGATTTCACAGAAATATTAAAATTCAAAAGAGAGAAAGAAAAATCAAATGCACTGATAAAGAGGTTCAAACTATCTATTTGATTACTCTATACATGTATCCATGCCAAGAAATTAGTTGACTCATCTTTTGATGACTGAATTGGTAAGTCAAAAGTGATAAGATGAGTCTCTCACTGTAAGATACAGGTGCTACTCTACAAAGATTTTGTCTCTAAGAGTTTGGAGATGTTAACAATTAACTTCCAATCCCAGTCCCTTTTGCAGAGTTTTCTGAAATTTAAATAAGCCAGTAAACCAAAACCAAACTCACTCCATCAAGTTGATTCTGACTCATAGCTAGCCTATATAGGGTTTCTGAGACTGTGCATTTCTACAGAAGCAGACAGCCTCACCTTTCTCCCATGAATTGGCTGCTATGTTTAAACTGCCAACCTTAACCTACAGTGCCACCAGAGCTCCTCAAATAAGCCAGTTGTTGTTAGGTGTCATTGAGTCAGTTCCAACTCACAGCAGCCCTATATGCACAACTGAATGAATGACTGTTCCATCCTCACAATTGTTATGTGTGAGCCCACTGCTGCTGCCACTGTGTCAATCCAGCTCACTGGGAGTCTGCCTCATTTTTGTGGACCCTCCACTTTACCAAGCATGATGTCCTTCTCCAAGAACTGGTCCCTCCTAATAACATTTCCGAAGTGTGATAAAGTCTTATCATCCTGGCTTCTAAGGAGCATTCAGGCTGTGCTTCTTTCAAGACAGATTTGTCTGTTCTTCTAGCAGTTCATAGTACTTTCAATATTCTTCGCCAGTACCATAATATCAACTACATCAGTTCTTTTATGGTCTTCCTTATTCATTGTTCAACTTTCACAAGCATATGTGGAGATTGAAAATACCATGGCTTGGGTCAGGTGCATCCTAGTCCATTTGTTGTTGTTGTGTGCCGTCAAGTCAGTTTTAACTCATAGCTTCCTGTATGGATTTTCCAAAGCTGTACATCTTTAAGGAAGCAGAAAGCCTCATCTTTCTCCTATGGAGCAGCTGGTGGTTCAAATTACCAATGCCACAGTTAACAGTCCAATGCATAACTCACTATACCATCAGGGCTCCTCCTTAGTCTAGTAGGTGTCTCCAAATCACATGGCAAACAACAAAGAGTTTTACATGAATCCTTGTCCACCTGTGATAAATGTGTCCTTAATATATTTACCAATCGGAAGAGAGCTCAAAGAATCTTTTTTATAGATAGATTGTTCAAATCTGGATCCAAACAAAATCCATAGATTGCACTTAGTTGATCACATAGTTTCTTCGAACTGCACCCTCATGTAGCCTGTTAGCTTCTTAAATAAATGGCTTCATTTTTAATTAGATTACTGAATGTAATTAGGTAAATTTCACTAAAGTAGTATAAAAAAATAAAACAGATGGATGTTCTGTGATGTTAATCAGTCCACAAGCTAAATACTTCAAGTTATAAAGACAAACATTGCTCAAGTATGGTCTTATTACTGGCAAGGTAATTTTAATGATGCAACAAGTTGCATTGTAGTAATGCTTTATAAGAAACAACATTACTGAATTTACGATACCCAAATGCATTTTAGAATGTTTACCAATAAACACTTCAAGAGATCACAGATTAGATCGATTATCTATATTGTTGTTGTTGTTAAGCGCTAAGACACTGTCTAATAGAGAACTGTGACACCTTTATAAAATTTCCATTGTAAGTTTGACTAAGATACAAGGAGTTTCTACAGAAAAATGTAGTTTTGCCCACCTTGCTCTGCTTGTTTCAAATTTTAATATTAAGAAGAAATTAGTCAGCTTGTATTGGTATTATTTGGAGCCCTGGTGTGGCACTGTGGGTTAATGCACCAGACTGCAAAGTCATTTGAACTGCAAGGTCGGCGGTTCAAGATCACCAGCTGCTCCTTGGAAACCCTCTACAGGGTCTCTATGGGTCAGAATCAACTCAACAGCACTTAACAACAATGGGTATTATTTAGTTGCTAAGACAGACCCTTAAAACAGCTTAAAAAACACAAGATTCAAAGGGATTGGGAAACAGGTGGAATGGAAACAGGAAGCACAGGGGAGGAGTAGGACAACTGTGATTGCATGGGGGGATTGCAGTCATTGAAATGAAACAAAGTGTTGTTGTTGTTATGTGCCATGGAGTAAATCTTTACAGGAGCAGAAAGCCTCGTCTTTCTCCCATGGAACAGTTAGTAGTGTAGGATTCATTATATGTACACCTTCACTCAATTTTCAATAACAAAACTAAAAAAAAAAACTAAAACAATCAAACCCACTGCTTCTGACTTACAGCAACCCTATAGCCATAGCCTTGTTGTTGTTATTATTGCTAAGTGCCATCGAGTCAGTTCTGACTCATAGTGACCCTGTATAAAGTTCCCAAGGAGTGCTGTTAAGTTCGAATTCCTGAGTGTTTAAAAAAAAAAGAGCTAAATTGAATGGTGTGAAATACTGTTAGCTAATGGTACATGGA